GCAGTGGCCTGTGACTAAGAATGCTTCAGCATCTTTGACTTCTCCAGTTCTCCATATGGGAAGTGAGGATGAAGCCAAGTCTTCTAATTTTTATTCTCCTACTTTAAATGTCACTACGGGTTTCCAGATTGGAACGTCCTTTAAGGATCCATCTGCCGGTGATATAAAAGGTGGAAAGAAACCTCGACGTCGTCCTCCTTCATGGAAGAGGAAAACACAAGTAAGAGATGCTACAACTGTTGTGACTCTGTCTCACACTGAGGGTAGTGCCAAAGAGGGTAATGGTACTAAAAGGAAATCAGAACCTGCTCAGCCTTCCCCGTCTAAAAGATTGACAAAAACACAAGACATTATGGTGGTTTCCGGTCTAAAGCCGCGGCCATCCCAATGAGCATATTGAGTTGGAATTGTCGAGGGACGGTAAACACCGAGACAGTTCGTCGTTTAACGGAGATGGGTAAAAACCATTATCCAGATTTCTTGTTTCTCATGGAGACTAAACAAAAAGATAGATACATGACTGGTTTACAAAAAACTCTTGGTTACGATAAGCTACTTACTGTTGAGCCTGTTGGATTAAGCGGGGGCTTGGCAGTGTTTTTGAAAGACTGTTACAAATTTGAGATTATGTCATCGGATAAAAGGATCATCGACTTGCGTGTGGAGATTGATTCGTTGTGTTTTTTCCTAACTTGCGTCTATGGAGACCCAGTGCGAGATAGGAGGAATTTGGTGTGGGAAAGATTAACAAATATCGGTTTGACCAGAGATCGTGCATGGGCCTTGATCGGTGATTTCAATGAGATTTTGGATAATTCAGAGAAGCTTGGTGGACCTTTGCGACAAGACTCCACTTTCTGGGATTTTAGGAATATGGTCGAAAACTGCAAACTCAAGGAAGTAAGATCGACTGGTAATATTCTGTCTTAGGCTGGCTGGTGTGATAATAGATGGATTCAATGCGGGCTTGATCGTAGTTTTGGAAGTGACGAATGGTTCCAGCTATTCCCACGTTCCAGTGTGGAATACATGGACATGTGGCCATCCGATCATCGGCCCCTTTTACTGAAATTTGTTCTGGAGCCTTTTGATCGTGGTAAGGGTCGTTTCTTCTTTGATAAGAGGATGATTGGAAAGGAGGGTTTTGAAGATGCAGTTCGAAAAGGTTGGGATGGTAATGGCATAGACGGGAACGCATCCATCATTGATCGCCTTTCTAGATGCAGGAAAGCGATGGTGCAAAGGAAAAGATCAACTCATTTCAACTCAAAAACGTGAATTGAGAGGATCCAGCAAGAATTTGAAGTTGAGATAGCAAAGACCCATCCTAGTGTCAGATCAATGCAACGTTTGAAGTTGCAACTCGCTGAAGCTCATAAGGATGAAGAGAAATATTGGAGACAAAGGAGTAGAGGACAGTGTCTAAGAGAGGAAGATAAAAATACAGCCTACTTTCACAATGTGGTTAAGGGTCAAAAAATTCGGAATAGCATCTTGATGCTCAAGGATGACAACGGTACTGAATTCTTTTCAGAAGGGGCAAAAGGTGATTTGGAAGTGGAGTATTTCAGAGAGTTATTTCTTAGCTCTAACCCCTCAGACCTTGAAACTCTGTTTGAGGGTTTTCAGAGTAAAGTTACAGCAGAGATGAATGAAGCGGTGATCAAAGAATTCTCAGATAAGGAGATAAAGAGAGCTGCTTTCTCGGTCAAGGGAAATAGCGCACCAGGTGAAGATGGGATCACTGGAGTTTTTTACCAACAATACTGGCATTTTATTGGTACTAAGGTTATCGAAGATGTCAAGGGGTTTTTCCTGTCTACTATTCTCCCAGCGGGTTGGAACCATATACAACTCTGCCTCCTCCCAAAAACTAAAAAAATTGATTCATTGAAAGACCTGAGACTGATAAGTTTGTGCTCACTCCAATATAAGATCGTGTCTAAACTGCTATCGGAGCGTTTGAAGCCTATTTTTCATCTTCTTATATCTGATACTCAGGAGCCTTTGTTACTGACCGTCTAATCTCCGAAAATATCATTGTGGCGCACAAAATGGTACATGGACTGCGTACCAATGAATCTGTCAGTGAGAAGTTTATGGCAATCAAAACTAATATGTCAAAGGCTTACGACAGTGTTGAATGGAGCTTCTTAGAAATTTGAATGGAGAAGATGGGCTTTGCTAGAGAGTGGGTTCGTTGGGTGATGACATGTGTGAGTACCGTGTCTTATACGATCCTAGTCAATGGCCGCGAACATGGATTTATTAGACCTGAACAAGGTATACGACAGGGTGATCCATTATCACCTTATCTGTTTATTATGTGCGCGGAAGCTCTGGTTAATATCCTGAACGTTGCAGAGCAGAAAGGGCGCTTACATGGTATCAAGCTTGATGCGGAGGGGCCAGCAGTGCATCATTAATTTTTCGCTGATGATAGCTTGCTATTTTGTAAGGCTAATCTGACTGAGAGTGTTGAGGTTCTTCGCTGTCTAAAGATCTACGGAGAGGCATATGGGCAACAAATTAATCCTGCAAAGTCTTCAATTATCTTCGGAGATAAGGTGGAGGATGGTATGAAGGCTGATATCAGAAGAGTCCTATCGATTAACAAGGAAGGAGGAGAAGGAACATATCTTGGGCTCCCTGAGGTTTTTAAAGGTTCGAAGAGGAAGACTCTTATCTATATACGTGAAAGACTTCAGAACAGAGTCTAAGGTTGGTTTGCAAAATCAATATCACCTGGAGGAAAATAAATTCTTATTAAATCTGTTTGTTTGGCTATACCGATCTATGCTATGTCAGTTTTCAAGCTCCCAAAAGATCTATGTGCTAAACTAACCAGTGTTCTGAGGGACTATTGCTGGAGCTATGGTGCTTCAGGACGGAAACTGTCGTGGGTCGCATGGGAGAAATTATGTCAGAGCAAGGAGAATGGGGGAATGGGTTTTCATGATATAGAACGTTTCAACCAAGCTTTGCTTGGCAAACAAGCATGGCGTCTTCACATGAATCCAACATCATTGGTTGCTCGTGTTTTGAAGACTCGTTATTTTAAAAATGGCTCTTTTATGAACGCTAGCATCGGAACGCGTCCCTCATTTGCTTGGAGAAGCATCTTACATGGAAGAGAAGCCTTGAAAATGGGTCTGATTAGAAGAATAGGGGATGGTCAGCTATCAAATATCTGGACTTCTAACTAGATCTTGGACTCTGTTTCAAGACCTCCAATGTATAGACAAGATAGCCTGGTGGATTTAACTCTGAAGGTTAGTGACCTACTTATTCCGAACTCAGCCTTCTGGGACAAAGACAAAGTGAGGGAAGAATTTACGCATGAAGACGCAGAGCGTATATTGGAGATCAAACCCTCTTCGAGCAGACCAGACTCTGATGTTTGGGGTTTCACGAACCATATGACATACACGACGCAAAGTGCGTACAAGATGTTATCAGCGGTCAACGATCTTAACTCTCTATCTCATAGGACACTTCCACCAGTCGAGCAAAACCTATGGAGAAGCATTTGGAAACTCAAAACTCTCCAAAAATTCGTCACTTCCTTTGGAGAGCTTTATCAGGGGCTCTTGCAGTGAAAGAAAAGCTCCAATCAAGGAATCTTAGTGCTGATACTACTTGTAAGACCTGTGGACAAGGACCTGAGACCATATGTCACCTTTTGTTCACTTGTCCTGCGGCAGCTGCAGCTTGGTCTGTTGCTCAGATCCCTCCCCCATTGTCTGGTTTCTCTCCTTCTTCAACTTTCTTGAACCTGCATTACCTAGTTGCTGGCACAAAGAAACGGAACTCAGACATAGGTAACTTTAAATCATTTCCTTGGATCTTATGGAACCTTTGGAAATCAAGGAATGAGCTGGTTTTTGAGAATAGTAGAACTACCCCTTTCTCCTGTGTGGCCAAGTCAGTGGAAGAGGCAAATATCTGGTTTCAGGTGAATGCAGCTACATTAGACATCTCTGCAGAACCGTCTATGTCACAACCGAGCTCTACATCTTGGCAGAGACCACCTCCTGGAGCTTTAAAGTGTAATGTTGGAGCGGCATGGAACCATTCAAGTGGACTGAGTGGAGCTGGCTGGATATCAAGAGATTCTCAAGGCAACCCAAGTCATCACAGCCGTCGAGCTTACACAAATTCATCGTCTAAAAGAGAGGCTGATTTACTTTCTCTGCATCGGGCTGTTGAGTGCATGGTAAACATGCGACAAAAAATGTTATGTTGGAGATCTCTTCTACAGTTATTCGAAAAGCTCTCTTAGAACCTCATCGTTTTCCAAAGAACGGGTCCTTACTTGACAATATCACGCTCCTTCCCTCCCAGTTGGAATCTTGGATTATCTTACATGCTAACGAGCCAAAAAAAGAGTGGCTCAAGCCATAGCGGGTAGTGTTGTTGCTGAACACTGTATTCAATTTTATATAGCCATTGGTGGTCCAGGTTGGTTATCTCATGCAACTCTCCATGAGACTCGTGCTATGTGATTAAGCATCTCAAGTTGCAAGGGTTTTTTCCTCTAATTACTTGTTCCTTCCGGACTGAAGTTTCTTTTTTGGCCTTTTTCTCTTTCTTATCAGTACCTACTTATATCTTCAATTTTTATTTGCATTTCTTTGCTTTTTGTACCTTCAGACACTTTTGTTGCCTCTAAAAGTGATAAATTCAGTGTTAAAAAAAAAAAAAAAGAACAACCCTTGCAAAACCGAAAGAGATATCTTCGTTGAAATATATTATTGATTAATTAAGAGACAGGTGCTGAAACATAATTTTTCCATGAAAGCCGATTTTGGTGCTTCAAGACGATGTTTCTAAGTTTGGCGTGAGAAAACTAGGAACTCACTCGGTAAGTGTTTAGAACGTTGTTTAAAATAATTTTATTCACACTGCAGTACTTGATGATATTGGGATTCACTTAGGTAACCAGAATCTTTAAAATACCTTGAGCATACATAGATAACTAGATATTTACATTTTTCTGTTAGGTTTTAACTGTTGATGATGGTGTCATTATCGATGATGATTGATTTATGTATAGATTTTAAGCTAAGAAGAAAATAAGATAAGCACAATGTATATAGATGTAATGTTGTGTAGAGGAGATTAATTAATTAATTAGTAAAGATTTTGAAGAGACTCATATTTCCCTGTTTCTAGAGGTATTGGGTTTGTATTCTCTCTCTGTTCTGCTCCCACCACGTCTTTGCATGCACTTCCCCAAATCGTTCCCGGCTGTTGAGTAAACCAAAGAACATAAATTTCGGTTAGGTACGGTATAATGTTAAGTTTCAAAATATCTGACACCATCTCGTTGGTAATTGATATTCCAATCCGGAAACCAGCCTAATCATAAGATTTTAACTACTAAATATGTAATAATTCAAATTGCTAAAAATCTTGTGAATACTTCATAATTTAAGGTAACCGGTATCCTAAACCGAAAACAGAGTAATCAGAACAGAGGATTTAAGCACTAAAGGATTGATCCTAAAAGCTGAAGTTTGGAACTGTACCTGAATCTGACACGACGTAGCTCTCTAGTCCCATCTGTTAATTGTCTGATGGTAATGTAAACACCTGGCTCATCTTCTTCGATCCACTCAGCCTGCATTTCACTAGCATTGCTCATGGACGGTGGCTCATCTCTTGAAGAAGTCGTGGTTCGTGCTGTATCCACTGGAGGTCCTCCGTAATGACCATAGTTGCTAGAACCACCATAGAAATGATGTGGGACATTAACTCCTGGAGGTCTGAAGTTGTTTCTTGGTGTCCAGTCTTTGCTCTCTCTTGCTGATTCCATCTTCGAGTAAGTTGAATCTCTCTGTGACTGAAAAGAAAATAAACAAAAGTACATTCACTAAAGGTTCTTGTCTGGAGGAGAGAGGAGAGAGCTTTCTGGATATGTGTTTTTAACCTGGTCTTCCGATCTTATAGGCGTTTGAAGAGCTTGGCGGTTAAATCTCTGTACATTGTAAAGCTCAACGATTTTGTCATAGTTCTCACCCCACCACCGTTGAGCTTGCCACTTGTCGAACATCTCCCGACTTTCAAAACAAGACACAAGTAGTGGTCAGTTTTCAAAACAGGACACAAGACAGGATATGCATGATCTGTTCTAGCCACCACCTACTGATCTAAAAATAAAAAAAAAAACTCAAAGAGGTTGTTTTGAGTAGTTCAATTTACCTAAAGCGGATCCGTTTAAGATCATTTCCTCCACTAGGAAGCGAAGCGAATGTGATATGGACACCTGGTTCTACTTGAGCCATCCACTCTTTAGGCCCTTCCTCATCTAGTACCACATCACAAGACTGAGCAGAGATAGATTCCCGATCGTTTCCATAGATTGAGGTGAACTTTGTTTCTGACCGTCCTGTTGGATGGTGAGAGGAATTTGTGAAGTCCCAAGCAGGAGTTGAACCGGCGCTTCCACCCATGTAAGGGTACGGAACACCTTCGGAAGCAGTGTCATAGTCTGGGAACGGTCTATGTCCTTTCTTCATGGGGCTGGTAGTGGAACCAGTGCATGGCTTGCATTGTTTATAAGCACCAGAAAACTTGATAGCCATTTCTTTAATCTGCATAACACAGGTTGCCCAAAAAAACACATTCTAAACACACAACAGTCTTGAATGCAACAGTTTCACTAACATTATATGTAGTTTTCAGACCATGAGTAAATGCGTCAAGAGAAATATACTTTTTAACCTAACGAAGCAAAAAAGGATATCTACTATGTTCATTCTTAGAAGAACATCAATAAAGCTAAGAGATCTAACATGTTTCAAAATTATATTAAAGAAAAACTACTTCATCTTGTCCTAGTCCGTCTCAGTCTGCTGAGTACTAATCATAACGGCCATATCTTCTTTTGTTTTGTTTTTCTTTTGGTTTACTTAATAGTTGCCCCTACTCTATAACTAGATCAGTTTTCATTAGCAATATTCATCAAGACAAGACCCCGTTAGCTCTAATCAGCCACAATACTCATAAATGGATTTACGGAATCTTCAAAATGGGTTTTAACTGTTTCGATACTTGTTTGACTTTCATATCTAATCACAAAGATGGGAAACAAACACTAACATAACCTATTAAAAATGACATTGGTGAAAGATTCCAAATTCCAAACAAGTGAAGTTGCATCTCTGTCGAAACAACAGTGAACCACTATACTAGTGAATTATCAGTCTCCTTAGATAAAGAAAGTCAACTCTACGGACCGTACGTTTTCTTATGCTATGCTATACTAAAGATTGCTTTGTGTATCTTCTGTGAGATACGTTAACTAGAGGTTCTATGTCTTTGGGTTTGTTTCACTAGCAAGGCAATTAGGGAAAAGCACCAAAATAAAGTGAAAAAAGTAGAAGGATCAACAGCGAAAGAAGAGAAGAGAGACCTGTGTAGTTAGGCTTTTGACGGCTTCTTTAGTATTGGGAGTGGTGCCTCCACGCGCTCCGACTTCCTCACCCCCGTCGGCTTTCGTACAAGCTATGCAAGTGAACATCTTTGCCTCTTTTTGTGTTCTCTTGCCTTTTCAGCCCTACAGAATCGTATAAAACAGAGTCTATTTAAAATAAACATCACACAACCAATCCTCAGTGAATAATACTACAAACCAAAAAGAAAAAGTAATTACAAAACCAAAAGTAGAGAGAGCTAAACAATAAAGGGATCCACAAACCACAATCCGACATCAAACACGGTAGACATATAGCTTATGTAATCACAGTACACATTCAATTTATTGAAATATAAAATATTAACAGGAAATGATGAAATGGTCCTACAATAGTAGTAACAGACAATTGTAAACATTAGTTAGAAATTAGAATACAGGAAGGGGAATTTGGATGCCGATTTGTCGTTCTCTCTTATTGAGATATATCCTAAGATATAGATAGATAATGATGTTTTAATTCCTAGTCCTTATCAAGATAGGAATCGATCTATGTATAAATACAGGTCTTTGGCCATCATAATAAAACCAACACAAACTATTATACGATTCTATACGATTTCATGGTATCAGAGCAAAAGATCTGATTTTTTTTCTCTTCTAAACTTGTTTCTTAGTATACAAGAAACATGGCAGAGACGTCTTCAACTACGACGTCTCCATCTACAACAACTCTAAACCCTATTAATGATCCTAATGGATTGTATTATCTACACCCCTCTGATAACCCTGGAGCCCTAATCACCTCGGTCCTTTTACGTGGTGATAACTATGGAGAATGGTCTACAGAATTATCGAATTCTATACAAGCTAAGCGAAAACTTGCATTCATCCAAGGAACGATACCAAAACCGACAACAGAACCAGATCTATCACGATGGTTGGCTACTAATTCAATGCTTGTTGGATGGATCAGGACGTCTATAGATCCTAAGATAAGATCTACTGTTACGTTTGTTCCAGACGCTCATAAACTTTGGGATAATCTTCAACGGAGGTTCTCTGTTCGGAATGGCGTCAGGATTCATCAACTTCGTGATGAAATAAATACGTGTCAACAAAACGGTCAAACGGTGATTGAATATTATGGCCGACTTACTAAGCTTTGGGAGGAGTTAGATAATCTCAAGACTCCACGTCAATGTTCCTGCGAAGCTTCATCCGATATTGAAAAAGAACGTGAAGAAATTCGAGTACACAAATTTTTATTTGGTCTCGATGATTCTCGTTTTCGCAACATTCGTTCTCAGATAATTGATGAGGACCCTCTACCTGATATCAATAATGTCTACTCTCGGGTTATTCGCGAGGAGCAACACAACAATACATCACGATCCAAGGAGCTTAAAACAGAGGCTATCGGTTTCTCTGCTCAAACGGATCTTTCCAAAACAGAACAGCAACAAGTTGCAGCAGTAAACAACCGTGTACGTGATCCAAATCGATCATGTACTAATTGTTCGAAGAAGGGTCATGATCACACAGAATGCTTTCTTCTTCATGGTTACCCGGAGTGGTGGTATGAACAAAAGAATGCTGCCACTACAGGCGGTTCTACTTCTCGGGGACGTGGTGGACGTTTTTCAAATTCAAATCGTGGTCGTGGGAGATCTAATACCTCAAGAGCTGTTACTAATAATGCATCTGCAGTTCCCACACTCAATAATGAACAGATAACTCAACTTCTTCAGCTTCTTCAGACTTCAGCTCCTCGATCCTCACTCTCTACAGAGAAACTATCGGGTAAAACAACACTAACAGATGTTATCATCGATACAGGTGCATCGCACCATATGACAGGCGACCTTTCTCTACTTAGTGATGTTGTTGATATACGTACATCATCGGTCAAATTTCCAAACGGTCGTTTGTCTCAAGCAACAAAGAAGGGAAAACTTGTTCTCAGTCGAGACTATTTTCTGACAGACGTGTTATATGTCCCTGACTTTACATGCACCTTGATCTCGGTTTCCTGTTTACTTAAACAAACTGGTTGTGTGGCTATCTTCACTGACACTTTATGTGTTTTGCAGGACCGTTTTACGAAGACCCTGATTGGAACGGGTGAAGAACGTGAGGGGGTTTATTACTTCACAGGGGTCACGGCTGCACGTGTTCATCATACTGAATACAAGAATTCTTCTACTTCAGAATTATGGCATAGGAGGCTTGGACATCCTTCTTTTCGAGTGTTATCTTCTTTACATGTTTTAGATAAACTGGTTTTTGATTCTGAGCAAGCCTCAAGTTGTGAGATTTGTTTTCGTGCTAAACAAACACGTCAAGTTTTTAATAAAAGTTCACACAAAGCTTCTACACCTCTTTCTTTGATTCATTGCGATGTATGGGGTCCTTATAGAAAAGCTTCTTCGTGTGGTGCTAGATATTTTTTGACCATTGTTGATGACTACTCCAGAGCAGTTTGGACATATCTGATGTTGGAAAAATCAGAGGTCTCGAATTTGCTCAAAGACTTCATAACCTTATGTGAACGACAGTTTGATAAGAAAGTGCAGATGGTCCGAACAGATAATGGGTCCGAATTTATGACCCTTTCTACCTATTTTCGACAACATGGTATTGTACATCAGACATCTTGCGTCGATACACCGCAGCAAAATGGACGAGTAGAACGCAAGCATCGTCATATCTTAAACGTTGCTCGTGCATGCTTGTTCCAAGCACGTCTTCCAGTCACTTTCTGGGGTGATAGCATACTAACAGCGGCATACTTAATAAATCGGACACCTTCTCAGGTCTTACACGGCAAAACCCCTTATGAGCTTTTATTTGGAAAACCACCAGACTATGATCAGCTGCGCGTGTTTGGATGTTTGTGTTACTCACATAGGAAAGCTCGTGATAAAGATAAATTCGGGGATCGGAGTAGGAAGTGTATTTTTTTGGGATATCCGTATGGCAAGAAAGCATGGAAACTTTATGATCTTGACACTCGCGAATATTTCTTTAGTAGAGATGTCGTTTTCTCTGAGACAAAGTTTCCAGGTGTAGACACTGATGAGTATGTTACTCCACCGATGAACCATTATGATCCTACCATTGATGACTGGTTGTTACCGGTTCTTGACTCAAGGGGGAGTTCACCAACTATGGTTTCTTCTCTACCTTCGAATTCAGAGCCTGCAGTCTCACCAAACACTGCAACCATTCCTGAACCAACACCGGCTTCTCCATCTTCTCCGGTTCCAGCTACGCCTGTTTCTACGGATGGACAATTAGCTGAACCTACGGTTTCTCCTGGCATACCAGAGGTTCTTGGTAGAGGTCAACGGTTTAAGACAAAATCGATTCTCCTCAAAGATTACGTGACCCACTCAGCTCAAGTTGATAATGAACCCTCTCACGTACACTCCTCGCCTGATCTCGGTCCTCTTCCAACGGTCTCAGGTACTCCATATCCCATATCTTGTTATGTCACTGACAAAATATTTTCCGTTAAACATCAGGCGTTTATGTCTGCACTAATACATGATGAGGTTCCTAAGAGTTTTCGTGAAGCTGCCACATTAAAGATATGGTGTGATGCTATGAGTAAGGAGATTAATGCCTTCGAATCGACTGATACATGGGAAGTTACGGCTCTTCCTCCGGGAAAGAAAGCACTTGGCAATAAATGGATTTTCTCAAATAAATACAACGCAGACGGTTCCTTGGAGCGTCCTAAAGCTCGGTTAGTTGTGCTGGGTAATAACCAAACTGAAGGGGAAGATTTTACTGACACTTTTGCCCCGGTCGCTAAGTTAGCATCAGTCCGGTTTCTTCTAAAACTTGCTGCAGTAAAGAATTGGCTAGTTCATCAGATGGATGTCACTAATGCTTTCTTACATGGCGATCTTAACGAAGAAATATATATGAAGCTTCCACAAGGTTATTCGTGCTCAGATCCTACTAAAGTTTGTCGCTTAAAGAAGTCCTTGTATGGCCTTCGTCAGGCTCCACGTTGCTGGTATTCGAAGCTCACTACGGCTCTCCAGAACTTTGGTTTTTCGCATGATTATGCTGATCAGTCCCTCTTTTCTAAAGTTCGAGGTTCTACATGTTTACACATTCTTGTGTATGTTGACGATTTTGTGATTGCATGCAACGATGCTACAGCGTTACAAGAGTTTAAAGACTATTTGCATCGGTGCTTTCGAATGAAGGATCTTGGCACCCTGAAGTATTTTTTGGGTTTGGAGGTTGCGCGGAGTCCTACTGGTTTCTATATCTCTCAACGCAAGTATGCTCTTGACATTGTTGCAGAGACTGGTCTTTTGGGTTGCAAGCCATCTCCTGTTCCCATGGAGTTAAATCACAAGCTTGCTGTTGTCGAGGGTTCTTTAGCCAGTCCTCAACAATATCGACGTCTCGTGGGGAGACTCATCTACCTAACTAATACGCGACCTGATCTTGGATATGCTGTTCATATATTAGCTCAATTTATGCATAAACCACTTCTGCCTCATTGGGAGGCTGCGCTGCGTGTGGTCCGCTACATCAAAGGAAGTCCTGGTCAAGGACTGTTTCTCAAAGCTGCCGATACTCTGCAACTTAGTGTCTACTGCGACGCAGACTGGTCTGCATGCCCTGTTACACGACGCTCCTTAAGTGCATATATAACTTTCTTGGGAGACTCACCGCTTGCATGGCAAACCAAGAAGCAAGATACTGTCTCACTGTCTTCCGCCGAAGCAGAATACCGTGCGATGTCTGTAGCTCTCAAGGATCTTAAATGGATGAAGGGTCTTCTTCAGTCATTCGGCATTCCTCATCCTTCACCAATGAAACTTTATTGTGATAGCAAGTCAGCACTTTATATTGCTGCAAACCCGGTGTTCCATGAACGTACTAAACACATTGAGCGAGATTGTCATCATGTCCGGGATGCGGTTCAGTCCGGGCTTATCACCACCGAGCATGTCAGTTCCAAGAATCAGCTCGCCGACATTCTTACAAAATCATTACCAAGACCTGCATTTGAACACTTATTGTCCAAGTTGGGTGTTCAGAATCTCACACTTCCAACTTGAGGGGGAGTATTGAGATATATCCTAAGATATAGATAGATAATGATGTTTTAATTCCTAGTCCTTATCAAGATAGGAATCGATCTATGTATAAATACAGGTCTTTGGCCATCATAATAAAACCAACACAAACTATTATACGATTCTATACGATTTCATCTCTAACGCAAACACAGCTCAATAAGGACAAAACTTGTGACGTATCTCTCTTCTGGTTAGAAAACAACTACTCAAAAGTAAATAGAAACTTGATAAAGTTGATTTGGTTTAGTTTTAACTTAAAAGGCTTAAATATTTAAAGAACAAAACCCATTTCATACCAAAAAAAAATAAAAAGGAAAAACATTAACCTCGGAGATTTACACACTTAGCTGGAATCAAATAGTATGAGCTTTTACGGAGGTTCATTAGTTTAGTTCGAGTGGCTTGATAGAGACAAAAAGTGTGGAAGATATTTAAAACTACAAGTTACACTTTTCTTTTTTTTTCGTTTTAAAGAAAAGACTTAGAACTTGGGGATCAGAGGATAGGACCCCAGTGAGATAATAAACAAATAAAATTGTATGTTTTCTTTTGTTACCCTTGAAAATGATTTTAAAATAAACTCGTTGCTTTAAACTAATTTACGAGTAAAAATGTCCATTTTAAAAGCAACCATAATAGGGACAAATACTTCTTCATTCTACTTTAAAGAGTTTTTGTGAGGTACAAAAATGGTATATAGAAATGCTTTTGTTTGCAGCAAAGAGCCCATCTCTCAACAAACACATATCAAAAGAGAAGAAAGAATAAAATTTTGTTTTTTGCAGTAGCCGAAAGTCCTGACATAAAAAAAATACTACAAAATTAACAAAGCAAAAAAATATATATATATGTATATATTAACAAAAGCATCAAATAATTTGTTCAGATTCTCTCCGTGTGTAACACCATTCCAGACCAAAAAAATACGAACGTGAATGGAATAACTGGAAAAGGAAATATTGAATGTATTAAACAAGAAAATGGAATCTTGACAGTCACGTGTAAGGAAAAAGAAAAAGAGTTTGGTTTCTATTTTAGGGTTGTGTGTGATGATGGACCAATCTAAAGCGTGTCGAGAGATGAAAGCTACAGATATGAATGTATTCAGAAATACAAAAACAAAATAATGCAACAATCACGAATTACGATGAATGGGGTAGTTTTGAAACTCTGGTTCTTGATAAGAAAAGCAAAGGCAACAATAACTGATACTACAAAAAAACCTATTATTATAGGATATACATTGAATTTTGATTTGAATGAGAATAATGGTTTTAGTAGATTTACTCACCTTTGTTTCGATATCTGAGAAATTGATTAGAGCGCTGCTGCTTTTATTTCCTCTTTAAGGTTTAGTCTATTTTGATAGCCGGCACGAGTGGGGTGTGTTCTGTGTCAAAGCCTATAGATAGGCCATCAATGGCTGCACAACATTAGCAATCGTAATAAATGTGAATAAAAGAACGAACCAATTGATGATGATGAATTTAGCTTTTAATGTGAGGGTAGTACAAACTCGGCGTATTCTTCTTTCTTTCTTTAATGTAAAAGTTGGGAAATAATAAATACAAGGAAGCTTTTGAAATGGAGGAAGAAACGTAGAATTTTCCTGGAAAGATTAGTAAGAAAATCTGTTTGAATGCTTAGAAATCGGAAACTAGAGAAATCTTTTGGAAGCTTATTATGCGATTTTATCCCCAAAGAAAAAAGAAAGACGAGTGACGAATCGAATCTGTCAAAATCATATCAATCAAGTGACAGAGGAGGAGCAACAATGTAACAGGTAAAGGCAGCTTACCAAACAAACAAAAAATCACTGAATCTTTTTTTTCGAAAAAAAAAAATAGTTAGAAAAGATGGATCAGTGATAAATCTCTGTTTGCTTTCTCAATATAGTTTCTACAGAAGCGAAAGTACAAAAACACAAGCAATGCATCTATCTCCGTTTCTCTTTTCCCGAGAAAAACAAAACAAAACAGGATTTCTCAAAACGACTCCCACTGACCTGAAATGTCTGCTTCGTAACAATACAACTCGCGGCTAAAATGTGCAATAGATGATTCTCTTCCCCAAGAGAAGAAATTTTCAAAATAAGAACGGCCGAAACGAGAATTCGGGTTATCGGGTCACCCGAAAAGTGAAACAGAGATCCGACTCTTTTTTGTTTTCTACGACGAAGAGAAAGAGTGGAGACAAGAGATCCTCTGTGTATTTATACGTGGAGGAAAGTGAAGGTTGTTTTAACGGCGTTAATTGTTTATTTAATTTATTAAAGAAAAACAGTCAGTTTTCTTAACGGAGAGCCTTTGGTGTGCGATAACATTTGGTCTAGTTAAGAGACGGCAGCGTGGGCCCATGTTGTCTAACACGGTGACGGAGATGGGTTACGTGTGCTGGAACTTTTTTTTTTTAAACTTGATTATCACTGGTTAATGAAACCGGATCGGGTTATGGTCACGATATACTTGACAGCCCAAGGGAACGGTCGCATCATGTCTTTAGTTTAATTTTAATACTGTATTTTACTCTTACTACCCTATCTTAAAGAAGTAAATTTTTACATCGTTTGTATTGTTATAGATGTGATGATCATGTGTTATAATTTGTTGTTTCAACCTTTTTATGAATGAGTAAAGAAAAAAGTGTCAATTGAGAAGATTTTTTTTTTTGAGCAGCCAACTGAGAAGATAACATATGAAGATTAACATACTTATAGTGCTTGTATATATATATATGATTATGCTATATAGTATTTTATAGTGAATGTGTATTAGTGTATAGTTATAGTGTTTATTAATAGTGTCATATTCAAAAATTAATGTTGGCATGGTGGATGGAACTTGAAGTATGGGATACATACAGCTATGCTATTCGCTTACACACGTGACATGTTTGTTTGTCATGTACGTTTCTTTTATACATTCTAGTTATCCGACCAAGTATTTGTTTGTCTATTTTGCTTTTACTTGTTTATGTAAGTATATCATTATGCGAATTTTGCTAGAAATTGATTAAAACATGGAAGTAAAAAAAAAAGAAAAAAAAAACATGGGAGTCTTATCTATTTTCACTTATAAACGTGATCACTAAAAATGAAGTCAAATGTCAAACTTATTTTATTAAAAAAACATATTCTTATTTTTGGGATTGATAATTAGCCAGTGCCCAGTGGTAATGCTAATTAACTGATCATCAGAAGATGCACAAACTTTAATATGAAGATCGATGTGTCTTCAAATTATACTAAACATTACGATAATAAACATAGCGAATCATAGAAAGAAGAAGTTGAATTGATCTGAATCTTGGAAATATAGGAAAGCACAGTAGTAACATAAAAGAAATCATACATAATAGTTTTCATATTAATCACAATGAAAGTTTCACATGTTGCGTGAAAGGATGTCTATAGAACATTCACTCGAGTCCCATATAGGTGGTCTGAAACACAAACTTTATTTTTAAAAATTACAAAATACACGTAGGCATTAGTCTCCAAAGACACCTAGGCTGATGATACTGTAACGTTGATTCGTGGTTAAGTAATAGGTCTTCTCTGTATTAGTTTATATTTTCCCTACACGTACTGTATATTAGAAGCGTTTCGTTGTCAAGTAATCAAAATAAACAATTGCCCTGTTTGTTTCTTAGACACCGACAATAATATGCGATCAAAAAATATCAAAGGCCACATCAGCAATTAACTAAAAACAGCTCGTTTGAAGACGCCGCGACTCGACTCATAAACGGAACAATTGCCGCGGCGACAGTAACGAAGTGCTGTTTATTACGGCGGCCATTAAAGCGGAAGAACGAGCATTAGCGTCAATTGGCAGCGACTGTTATTAAATGTCAATGCCGTGAAAATTAGTCATTTCCTTTACAATTTTTGAAACGCTGACACTACCACCCAGACCCGGTCCGGAGAAAATATGGGTCGGAAGCAAAAAAATAAAAAATTGACCTATTAATTAAAAATATAGAACTATTATATCTCGAATTTGACACATCTCACACAACAAATTTAGCCTTAAACCAACTACACTACCAAAGATATTGACAATCTGAAGGCCAAAATGTTTGATAATCTAATTAGGACCGAAAGCACGTGATTGTATTGCTTGTACCCAAGGCCACTACTGCTACTACCGCGTCTCCAAAAAGAACATGACTAATATAAAAACGCGAATACTTGATTTCAAGTTTGAAGTCCAGGTTAAGAAGCTAATGCAAGAGAGGATTTTTAAATTCCGGATGTTTGGAACTTTTTTTGTCATATATAAGCAGTAATTTTTTTTTTTTTGCAAAACCAAAATCTTAAATATTGTATTTCTTTTTAGTTAGATAAGGTTTTAGGGTTATGCTTATAAATTAAGAAAAACAAATTCTTACATTTGTTAATAAAAATATTATTCATTTAACTACACATTAACGAATAATAAAAATGGACTGCAGAATATTAATAATTATATAATATAAAAGTTCCTAGATTTTACTTTAAAACCGAAAAATCGTCTAATTTGAAATAAAAAAACTGTAAAACGTCAAATATTAAAAATAGAGGTAGTATTAGTTATTGTACTAAATGAAAAAAGCAATAAACGTTTACTTATTATGTGCTCCAGTACTGTACAAGCTATTGGACTTGGTGTTACAAAAAAAAAAAAAAACTACTCCCTCCGTTTTAATTTATTTGTCATTCTAGGTTTTTACACACGGATTAAAGAAATATTTAATTTTACACATTTTCAATATAAAAACACAATTATCAATATACCTAACCACTTTTCAACCACTAGAAAAATAAAATATCATATAAATCTAATAAATTATGTCTCGAAACTCTAAAACGACACTTATTTTGAAACGAACTTTTTCCTCTAGAATGACATCTAATTCAAAACGGAGGAAGTATTGGACTTGTTTTTTTTTAAACATCCAGTACTATACTAGAGGCGTCTAATTCTTTTTGTTGATCGAACTGTAGTTTGAACTGTAAAACATTGAAATTTGTGAGGCGCATAAAATCACTTAGATTATGTGCAAATTCGGCGATGCTAAACTTTCTTCAAAAGAAATAAAATCAAACATATATATAAAATGTATTTAACCCAAAACGTGGGGGCCTTGGGGGTGGGAACGTAGCTTTTATATATTCCTGGGGCTACCCTGTCTTTAAGCAAAGAATGCTTCGAACAGAGGGACAATAAAACTCCAAATAACTATCCAAGAAATACATATACGATAGAGATATGAGAATAAGAACTTTTCATGTAATTTTATGTTTAGAAACATACTATAACTTAAAAGAAAGATGTTTAAAATTTTTAACAGAAAAATCTAACTTCCAGAGTAGATTTCAAAATAATAGTAATCATAATTTAGCTATTGTTTTTTTAACAATGATTTATTATGATAATACAATTATGAAAAATATTACAATTATGAGATTCAAAAACCAACATTACTACATATCTTATGAAAATCTACACCTAACTGCATCACCAGAGCAGTCATACGAAGATCTATGCTTGATTGGATTTAGTTGTACCATGTTGAAGATTTCTTCTGTAATCTGCATAAATGTTTAATAAAACATTTTACTATAATGTGCAATTTGCAAGAAAATGCATAGTTTGAGATTTAAACATCATATATAATAGAATTTTTTTTAAACTTTAACCAATTGGATACATTGCTTCCACTAACTTAACTATTACGAAGTTAGATATTGTCAAAGTAATAGATTTTTTTGTTAAAATAGAAACATGTTTGGTGGTTTTAGTAAAAATAAGAAAAACATTTTTGGGGTATATTTTCTTATATATAATAAGAAAAATATTTATAATAAATGTGTCACATGGCAGTCTTATAATTATTTAAAAATTAGAATGCTAACGTGACAATCTCACAATCATTCATATACTAATTTTTTTTTATCTTCAGCGCAAATAATTTAATATGTTCATGAATTATTAGTTTTTAATTGACACACCTTTAGTTCCTGCAGTTTTAATAATTTATATCAGTGAATTGAAGTTCTCTCCATAAAACAGCTGAATAATATTATTTTTGAAAGATAAAAATTACAAATTATTAAGTTTCGCATCAACTAAAAGGTTGGAATGAAAATATTTAAGAAATTTAAATTTTCTTGCTTTGCTAAACTTGGAAATGGTTGAGGCCTCTTTGTACACGAAGACGATAAATAATTGTGAATGATTATGAATTAAGCAAACTAAGGTGAAAAATACCACACATAAATTTGGATGTTTAGTTTAATCAAGTCTTGCTTTTCTTTACAAATTTTTCATATTAGATCAAGAATTAGAAACAAAATCAAATTGCTAAAAAAATCAGAACAATTTTAAAAATAAAAAATCAGAAAAGTTTTAAAAAGAAAGAAAATTTGCACGATTGAAAATAAAATTCATGTGTCGAGTGAAGAGATCACATTGTTTTCGATGCAGCCATAACCTCCTTTCACTCGATTGTATCATGTTTTATTATATTTTACCAAAAAAATATAAGAAAATACACATTATTGATTGTAGACGACGTCAATTTTGCAACATACCCAATAATACTGGCACGATGTCCAACAATTTTTATTGATATTCTTAAAATATGGTCCAATAATTATGTATGTAAAATAAACCCAAAATATGTGTGTTATATTAATTTTTCGTTTGCTTAATATTAGTAGCAGAAAGTAAATCGGGTAAAATACATGGATTTGAAGAACTGAACCAAACTCGAATTGAAAGTAATACTAAACAGTTGTCAAAAAAAAGAAGTAATACTAAACACAAACTTAGTCTGTGTAGGATATGCGTCCCATTAGTAATACTAAACAGTTGTCCTACGGAGATGAAGGATATGCGTCCCATTAGTCTGTGTAGTGTTCAATACAAGATTATCTCTCGCATTTTATGTGATCGTTTAAAGAGAGTTTTGCCTAATATAATATCTGAAACTCAAGGGGCTTTTGTTGGAGGCAGGTTAATCACGGATAACGTTATCATAGCTCATGAACTGGTTCATGGGTTGCGCACGAATGATAAAATTGGTAAAGAGAGTATGGCTATTAAGACAGATATGTCAAAAGCTTATGATAGAGTAGAATGGAATTTCCTTGAAGTGTTATTGGAAAAAATAGGA